TACAAATCTTCAAACACCAACTTATTACTATTCTTTATATTTCTCTTTTTTATTACTATCATTATAATAGTGTTTTGTAATTAGCTATATACTGGTGTGAAGTAGTGATACCTCAAAATAATTAAAAGTCTTTGATGAGCGAACAGATGTTTCTGAAGGTCATCACGTGATATTCAATCTTGTTTACATATTGCTCCCTAAATCTACTATTATGCTGTATCAATATTCCATGACCATAAACTCATCGAGAAGCAAACGGGAATTGAAACTCGCTTAATGTTGGCTTTGGTCGTTTAACTTTTCAGTGGTATTATTTTTAAAAAAATTCTTTTTATATTCTTGATAACCAATCGTATCTATTGACTGACTGTGATCAACTGACGAAATAAAATAAGACCCTGACTTGAAGATGTCTGAAAAAGATAGCTGAGTGTCGATCGATTGATTTTCTCTGAAGATGAAAAGCAAAGTAATCGTAAATACAAGAGACGTTTTGGTGCTAGTTTTAGCAGTACTTTTTATTTCTATTGGTCTTGCTGGAAATCTTTTGGTCGTAATTGCAGTGTGGAAAAAGCGATCTTTACGATCGACCACCAATTACTTGCTGGTCAATCTCGCCGTATCAGACATTATCAACTTAACGTTTCTACCTTTCATTGCTATACAACATTACGTGTGGTTTGAAGAAGGGATTTTAGCCGATTTCATGTGCAAGTTCTTCAGCTATCATATCCCACTTACAGCGAGTTTCGCCTCGATTATAACACTTCTTGTGTTGTCGATAGAAAGGTACCATGCTGTAGTCAAACCAATGAAGTCGGGTTTCAGACTTCGACAAGAAACCGTACACTACGCTATTATTTCAGTATGGGCATTCGCCATTTGCTTAACCTTGCCATACTACATCTTCGGATACTCAAGAAAAAGTAAATGCAGACATAATTTGCCAGACGATGCAATAGAGAGTTATGTAATAATAGTAATGTTGACTGTAGTGATTGTCCCTTTCTTTGTCATCAGCTTTTGCTACCTTCAAATAGTTCGTGAGTTATATTTGAAGCCCAAGCAAGTTGGACCACAAAACGTGGAGATAGCTGAAGATCAACTAGTCAAGCGGAAGCTCGTCAAGATCTCTCTGTTTGTAAGCTTGGCCTATGTTATCTGTTTCTTTCCAATGGCCATAACATTGTTTTTGAATGCCTATGATGAAGGCAAATTCGGTTCAAAGCATTACAGAAATGCTTCAATTTTGTATTTTTTGGAGTCTGCAGTCAACCCACTCCTCTATTCGTTTCAAAGTTCCAATTTTCGTCAGGCTTTCAAAGAATTGTTAAGATGTCGCGGCTGTTTGCGATGAGTTAACAAAAACTTGAAAACGAAACGCAATCGTATTGCAAGAATGGAAGGGTACCTCTCACATCAAAACTTACGTTTTCAAACATTATTATTATTATTATTATTATTATTATTATTATTAT